TTTGGCATACGTTGTGGTGAGAAGGTGTACCTTGGCTAAAGGAATTGGTTGTGATTTTTGTACAGGTAAAACATGTGGGATGTGTGGGAGAGGAAAATGGCTTGCTTGGAAAACGGGGAGAGGCTTTATCATAAAAACTTCAATGTCTGGATTTCGGATTCTTCATCAGAAGAGTCTAAATAGGCAATTGAACATAATAACTGATCATTAAGTTCATCATCAAGAGAGTAGAGAGACTCTAGATCAGAGATTTCGACAGGCTCAATTTGGTTGAGTGTCTGAATCAGCGCCTGGGATTTTCTCTTGTCTTTGCAGTCTCTCACAAGGTGCCCCTTCTTGTTGCATATGTAGCACCTATCAGTGTTCTGACCCCGTTGTGGCTTCTGTTTCAGGAATTTCCATCTTTTGTTATGTCCGTTTTCTAGGACAAAAGGTTTTTTTCTTTTCCCGAAAGAGGACGTCTTTCTTTTGTGAGAACAATCACAAGAAGAACTTTCTTTGCATTTTATTCGTAAATACTTGTCATCACAAGCTGTACGAAGGGTTTTGCTAGTCTTCTCGAGATCAGAAAAGAAGTTTCTCTGGTTGCAAAGCTTAGCGAGTGCATTCATTACCAGCTGGTAGAGTTCTCCTATTGAGGCTTGAGCAACTGTGATTCCCTTCAGCTCTAACAATCTAAATGATTCATTTGCTAGAGTTTCTGGGAAGGAGTTTAAGAAAACTTGTTTTAGATTCACATCATCTAGTCCATTTAGACAATAAAATCTTTTGGACATGCGATCATAATGTCTCCACATCTTTTTCTGATATGAACAACACTTCATTTTCAGAAACTCTTCTCGTGCATGGGCAGTGTGCTCGATTGGACTATAAACTCAACATATATTTTATGTATGAGTTATTCAAGAGACTGAGATTGCTGGATTTGCAGTTGACGATACTCTCCAAGACTTAAGTACCAATCTCTTAGTCATCCTTGGCACCTGGTTATGAACCTTTTGACTACTATGTCGATGTCACAATATTGAAGTTCTGCACTACACCATGTTTGCATTTCAATGTTTCTGTCCCTTCATCTTGATGGAGGGATGTCATCAAAGGTGAACTGTTGTTTAGTATCACCTTTTGGAACTTTGGCCCGTCTTTGGGGTGTTGTCTTTGAACCAGTGTCACTGGGTCCTTCTTCTACTTCTGAATCAACACGATAACCTGTTTCTGGTTCTGTCATGAACAGGTGTTCGAATGCTTCTGTTAGGTCAAAATCAACTTCTTCATTTGAGGAAGAGACGATTGGTGCCACAACAACAGTGGATGCCGGAAGGGTATTCGATTGAGTCAAAGACCATAAGAAAGAAGAAATATGGTTTATTTCTTCTATTGGTAAAACTCCAGGTGGCCTTGAGGAGGCAACCATAGACGTGTCTTATGGGAGTTCTTTTGTACCACTGGAGGAGGCTATCTCAGTTCTTTCAAGGGCTTGTTGAGATCTGGCAGGAACCAAAGTACGTTTGCTTAACCTTTTTTTCCTTTTCTGAGGCCCATAACATAACTGATGGGGATGTCTGGATGAATGGTGACAAGGGAAGTGGCTGTGGATCAAATGCAGTCCATGGATCTTCAACTAGGGTTGACAATCGTTTTTGTTTGTGCTGTCTCTCAAGATCCGTAAGCTGGGCTTTTAGGAACTTCATTTCTGACTCTTTTTAGGTGAGAGAGTTGGAGGTTGGTGAAGGGTTATTCTGAACTATCTGGATAAGCTCATTGTGGAGTCCTTGTATCTTAAACCTGATCTCTGTGATCATACCTTCAAGAGTCTGCACTTTCGTCGTAAGAACCTCTTGTGTCCTTGTCAGCTTTGTTTGTTGTGCCAAAATAGTTTTGAGAACCTTTTTTTGGGCAACAGCATTTTCACTCTGCCAGTTTAGAGTGACTTCAGCATGACTAACTGTGGCGGGGATTCCAGAGGAACTTATGGTCGTGGGAGTTCTGATATTCCAATCGTGCCTCGTTCTTTGGTGGGGATGTTTGAAAGGACTGAGTGGTGGAAATTCTTCCTGGTACTCAGATGGGGTTGTTGGGGTTATAACACAACATTCGCTTTGGGACTAGGTGGGGGGTTTATGAGAAGGTGATGTGTGGCAAGGTTTGAGGGTTGGGTTTGGTTTGGAAGGTGAGTTTCCATACAGAACATAATAATCGAACTTGCCTGATGGCTCACCTAGGAGTCCAACAGCTGGATCGCCTGCCTCGTATCTCTTCTTTAACTTTCGTTGAGAACCCTTTTGGGGAATATCTTCATCGTAATCAACTTTGTATGCTTCGTCCAAGCAATCTTGGCAGTTGCATACGTCGTACCAACAATGTTGGTCTTTTTGCAACGATAAGTTATGGCGTTTGGTTTAAAAAATGCTCCATTTGTCTTCCAAAAGGCAATGATAAGGATTTTTGAACCAATACTCAACAATACCCTGGTATACATCGATGACATTCTTCTATTCTCACCATACGAGAAATCTCACATAGATTAACCTTTTTATTCTCGACATGTGCATCATGTCCTTGTTGGAGTTTGGTACTAGAGATATCATGATGAAGTGAGTGCTAGTTGAAGAAAAAAGAAGGATCTAGTTATTCGTTGACATTTTTCACATTAACACCTGACATTGACCTAGTCTCGAAGTAAGACTTGATTTACCTATTGTTGATGTTAAATCTAATTTTGCTATTCAGATTAATCTAAGTATTGATTTATTGAAAGATATTTATTCTTTATTCAATGTATTATTGGGAAATTTTAAATTAGTCGCTCTTTCCAAATTGAGGTTGTTACAGGAGTGCCGACGGTGTGAGAGAAGAAGGAGAGGTAAGAGAAAGAGGATGGTCGATGGTGTTTTAGGAAGAGATGGAAGTTAATGTAGGCACCGGAGGTGATGAGTGTCAACAATGAGGGAAGAAGGAGAAGGAGGTCAGTGGTCTTGAAGGGAGGACATATGTATATTATATATAGAGTAAATTGCAAGTTGGTCCCTAAGGTAATCATAAATTAAAGAAAAAAAATTAAATAATCATAAATTTAAAAAAAATTAAAATTGACCAATTTGTCTTCATATTTAACTGAAAGAATGGATGATCGTTTGCTTCAAATACTAAATCCATAACAAACTACATATGTAGAAGATTTTTTTATAAATAAATGATTAAATATGTAAATGTTAAGATAACTTGGGGACCAAATCCCTAACTTACTCCAAAAAATATCTACCCATTGAATTTTATTATTTAATTGAATTTTGTTATTCTCCAAGTCCCATTTTTTATTTCAACCTAAAATAAAATCACTTTTCTTACATTGTATTAATATAATGAAAGTGCTAAACGATAAAAATTAGTACGTAGATATCAATCAATTTTCTTTTTTAAATTTGAAAATTTATTTATTTAATTAAAACCTGGTTTATTTTATATGGTTCAACAACGTTTAGTAGGTAAAAAAAAATATATATAATTTAATAAAAACTCTCCAAAATAACCTATTATGCATAGATATGCTTATAGATTTGGTACCTAACTATTTTCCGTCCCTTCATCTAATGACCATTATATTTTTCAGTTAAATAAAATGTATTTTAATCATTCTTTATTTTTCTTTATTTTAAATAAACAAAATCTAATAAATAAATAAATAAATATAACTCCCACCTTCCTCCTCACACTCTTTTTCCCCGCCCTCCCCTTAGATATGAACCCACCCCTCGCCGAGCGGAGACTTTTGGTTGCAAATAGGGGAAGCAATGAAGAGGGGCAATGAAGGAGTTGCCCAGAGAGAGAGACAATTCAAACAAAGTGGGAGCAGGGGACAAGGTTGCTCAACAACTCTAGCTCTGATTTCAACTGTCAACTCCAGCTCCATCCTCTCATTTATCGATCAAAGAAAGTAGCGACGGAAGCGCCACGATAACAACGGCAATACCACAACAGTTGCATGTCAATATCTACAACACGCCCGTTGACCTCCACATACACAAAATCTGATTTATATTTAGGCTTTTGTGACTCTTGAATCTATATTCATCTTCATCTGATCTAGGCTTTTGTTTGATTTAAGGTTTGTATCACATATTTTTTTTGAATGAATTTATACAGAATTGTTGTTTATGTTTGATAATTGCAATTGTATGTTGATTTTGGTTGGATTTTTTTATTGTAATGTGTTTGAATTGACTGGTGGTAGCGGTGGTTGCAGAAGAGCTTATAATGTTGGATGACAGTTGTTGATTAGAAATTATAAAATGACGGGAGGAGGGGTACATTAGGGGTGGATCTACTAAGAAACGAGTGGGGTCCCATGCACTCACTCACTTGGTTATCATAAAGGAAACAAACTAGGTGTCTTGAAGGTGCACCCGCTTGATTGTGATGGTGCCCTGAAATATTTTAAAATCAAATTTGCAAAAAAGTTAAGCTAGAAAAACGTGGGGGTAAGACGTAGTCGTATGTTTTGCTCAAAAAGTCAAGTTCCATTCAAATTAAAAAAAAACTTATTTTTTTCATAATTCGACATAATAGACTTTCTCTTGAGTCAAACCAACTTTTTCCTTCCATTCAAACTCGCCATTTTACGGGACTTTAATACATTTTAAAGATGCATTCGCTCTAAAAATTTCATGGATCTACCACTAGGATCTATTATTAAAAAAATTAAATATTTTTAAATATAAAATAACCAAAATACCTTTCGTTTAACTTGATTAAACAGAAAAAATTAAAAGTCATTAATGGAAGGGACAAAATCGTAATAAATAAAATTTATGGACTAAAACCGTTAAAATGGACAAACGTGAGGTACCAAATTGGTTTTTACTTGGTATATTTTATAGTTTTTGGTAAGAGATGGTGGTGGGGGTATTTATGTAATTGCACAAGTAAATGGACAGCGAATCTTTCCCGATCTCAGGGGCCTCTTTGTCTATATATTCAGGCCAAATCACACACACCAAATCACACTTATCTGCGTGTTTTATTTTCTCTCTGCCATTTTTAACGGATTTATTATTTCTTCCATTTCTATCAACCGATTCGCGAGTTTTTTGTTCCGACATTTCTCGTTATTCCCTGTTGATTCGTTCGTAAATCATCAAAATTGATTGAGATCTGGTGTATTGAATATGAAAGTGAACTTCCTTTTTGTTTAATTTGTTCAATCATAAGGAAAAATTTCTAGTTTGAGGTTGGATTTCTTGGTTTTGAATAATGAGGGTGAAGCAGGAGGAGGTGATTGGTTATGAGAGCGAAGAGGGAAGGGAAATGGAATCCAGTAGTAGTTCTGGTTCATCTGGTGAGTTGGGGTTTCACGACAACCTGATGAAGGTTATTGTTGTTGGTTATGCGCTTACCTCTAAGAAGATTAAGAGCTTTTTGCAACCAAAGCTCGAAGGTTTAGCTAGGTATATTAATTTTATTTTTGTAATTTCGTCCTGATTTATCAAATTACTTGATCCTAATTATGATATTTATCTCTACATGCATGTGTACGGGTACAAGTATCTATTTCGACCTTCGTTTTCTTATCTTGATGATTTGTTGATCGAGAGTTGCTTCTAAATTAGATTTAAGGAATCGAATAAACGATTTGTTTCTCCTAAAGTTGTTCTTTTTGGGGAGGAGTAGTTTTATACATAAAAAATATCCCCTCTTGTAGGAGCAGCTTATAAATATTCGCTTGTTTTAATTAATTTGCTTTTTAAATTGATACGAGTGCTGTACTATGGCCGGCTTGATAGCGTATTTTTTAGAAAGATCCTTGTGTTTGAATATTCAAAATATTCTTTCAAGTCGTTCGCAATGACTTACGAGTATATTCTATATTAAACAAACCTTTCTGGGATGCATTGATGTTGAGGTTTCAATTTAAAATGTTGACCTCTCGTTTGTTTTTATACATTTTATTGGTGGGATTTGTTTCATATGTATCAGATAATCATATAACTTGCATCACATGTCATATGTACACTGTTCTGATAATCAAGCAAAATTAGACAGTTACTTTAGTTGATAATCCCAGAAGCAATCAGGGGAAGAAAACTTCTCTTTTTAACATATAATCTGGATAAATATCTGGCAATACCACCCATGTTAACATCAAACTTGTCATATTTTTTTCTTTTTTGGAAGAGCGAGTGTGATAAGGAGTAAAGATAATGCATAATAACGTACTTGTTTTTTCTACATAAAGGAATTGCCATGAGTTTGATGGGTGTGTACAGATTTTCCCCGCAAATCTGAATCAGTAGGCAAGCACCCAGATAGTTTAACTATTATCTTTGGATTAGCTTGATTTACTATCCATGGATTAATCTCATACTAGCTCTTTTATCTCAAATTCTCAATTATGATTTTTTTTTTGCATTTTGTTTGTTGGTGATGTTGTATATATATACATTATTGTTCCACAAATCCTGTTTTTCTGCTTCTCATCACCACCTAACTGGAGTGATAGATTGGATTTGGAGCTACACCATTAGAGAAATAAGCTATAACTGAAGCATGTTTTTCTGCTTGTAGTAAGTTCTTATGTTTGGTATGCACAAAGCTATACCTGGACCATGGATTGGGTTTTCTTAGTATTTCATTTATATTAATTGATCCTGTGTTCATACTTTATTTTGTTTCATCAGTTTAGCATAAAGATGACTTTTTTTGGACTTCAGTTGTAGAGTTATTGTGGATATTTTTTAGTTTACCTTGTATCTATATCATTTCTCTTGATGTTGGGTTTCAGATGTTGTTATGTTATTGATTGCATCTTTGCTTGTGTGAGATGCAGGAATAAGGGGATTTTCTTTGTTGCTATTGATCAAACCAGGCCTCTTTCAGATCAAGGTCCTTTTGACATTGTGCTGCATAAGGTCTGGGGCCTGATCTTTATTTTTTTCCTGCATCTAGCAGTGTGCCAGGGAGTCTTTGTTCATACATTGGTACTGACATATGATGTTTCACACTTTGTTGTCCACAGTTGTGTGGGAAGGAATGGCGAAAAATTCTTGAGGTTGGTCTTCGTAAGATTCTCCACTTTCAATGATTATATTGATAATTTTGATTGTGAAATCTCTTCGTCATTTTGATGATATTTTACTCAAAATTTTGCATCATACTGTCATGGATTAAAATTTTGTTACATCATGATTCATGATTTCCCGTTTGATAAGTTAGGTTGCTTCCTCATCACTGGAGCAATTGAGCATCCATCTTTCTTTGTCACTAAGGATTCCACACCCCATATTTACTGAATCATGCTGACCTGATTCTCTTTTCTGTGAAATCTGGTGTACTTGTTAGAGGCTTTATTAACCTTTACCTTGGCTTTTTCTGTCTTCTATTAAATTATTAATCTGATGAATTTTGCTCTACAGAATTGGTTGATAGTCAATGACTTCACAATGCATAATGGATATTAGATTTTATAGTCTAAAGTTTTAAACATCTACCATCTCACATTTTCTGAAATGTAGACCAAAAATATATCTACAAATGATATATTGGCTATATAATAATAGCAAATGTGATGTGAAAAGTTCTCAGAATAAAATTGATGTAATGAAATAGCCAACTAATTCTTAAATTATGGAAGTCAACTTGCATTACCTTTCACCAGGTGAAATTGAAAAAAAGCACCCTGCCATATAAGTGGGAAGACATGACAAGGCACCTGGTAGGATGACTACATCCATTAATTCCAGAACTACCTTCTAGACTGTAGATGGGCTGTAGGTAATTCCAAGCTGAAACAGCTTGTGTTTTTATCCTTCAAGGAATTTAACTGTTTAGCCAACACCTGAAATTCATCTAGCTAGTACAGTTTAGGCTTGAGTGAATACATTGCAAATCAAATAAGAATCTAGCTGGAATTTGTTTTGTTATAATATACAAGCTTATATAATTATATAAAGTAAAAGGGTAGTCAATTTAGTTGTCCCTTGTTTAACTGGTTTTGCATAGGGACGCGGCTCGTTGCAGTTGAGTCAATGAGTGGTTTTGGATGGAATACTCATACACTATTACATTCACTTGAGACCTGAGATAGATAAATTTGCTAATCTTAGTTTCTTCACCTGTTTAATTTTCTTTGCAACATTTCCAACTTGTTTAGTTGAGGTTCTCATGGATCAAATATGCTTTCTTGCACCTTAATTTCATGCATCTTTTGGATGTATTATGATGATCGCTAACCTTTTTTCTACTTTGAAGGATTATCGCCTGACGCATCCTGAAGTCACAGTGCTTGATCCTCCTGATGCCATACAGCATGTATACAACAGGCAGTCTATGCTTCAGGATGTTGCTGATCTGGGTCTTTCAGATGCATATGGTGATTCTTTTGTTTCTTGATTATTACAGATGTCTGGAAAACTTGAATTCTTGCTTCTGCTTCAAATCGTAATTGTATGATCGATCCATGAAATACTTCATTCTCATGATTTGTACACCTCGTAGGTACAGTCGGTGTCCCGAAACAATTGGTGATAGAAAAAGACCCATCATCTATTCCAGATGCGATTAAGAAGGCCGGGTTGTCCCTGCCTCTTGGTATGTTCCCTTTGTATCATAATTGGAAATCGAACTCCATATTTATGGAGCTAGTCACTGTACGATCATGATTCTGAAAACAATGCTAGAAACAGGATTCAGAAAATGATAGCATCTTGGTCTAGTATATGGTTTCTTACCATTTTTCTTGAATATTATCATTTGTTGTGACGTTCTGCCAGTTGCAAAGCCTTTGTTTGCTAAGTCGCATGAACTATCACTGGCTTATGATGAGTATTCCCTTCAGAAGCTAGAGCCTCCTCTCGTTCTTCAAGAATTTGTTAACCACGGTATGCAATTGCAACCTACAATAGAACCATGATTTTTCTGGGTATAATTCAACCTGAAATGCTTATTGCTCTTGTCGTTGTAGGCGGTGTTCTCTTCAAGGTTTATATTGTGGGGGATGCAATCAAGGTTGTCCGGCGTTTCTCCTTACCCGACGTTAGCAAACGTGAGTTGTCCAGAAGCAGTGGTGTCTTTCGCTTTCCTAGGGTCTCATCTGCTGCCCAATCTGCAGATGATGCAGATCTAGACCCATGTATTGCCGGTAAGTCCTTGCAAACTTTGCTAGGATTTGGTCTTTTCAATTTTCTTGTTGCATACTTCCTTGCGCTTGGACTATGGGTTGTGTATAGGTAACAAAGTAATTAACTATAAAATGTACGGTTTCATTAGATATGACAAACAAGTGGTTCTTTTGCAACATACAAGTGAGTTTTTCTTTCTTTTCTGCGGATGTTACCAAAAAATAAAAAAAGAGGTTCTTTGGGACGCGGCGGTTAAAATCCTTTTGCTACAAACATTAATTTCAAGTTGCATATGAACCTGATTTATCGTTGCTGTTTTTGCAGAGCTTCCTCCACGAGCTTTACTCGAGCGCCTTGCTAGAGAACTACGATGCCGACTGGTATTCACCATGAGTCTGTTCTGAATTTTCCTTTACAGTATTGTTGTCGCTTTTTCCAGAGTATATCTTTCTTCTCATGGGTCATTTACATATTTTATGATCATTAAAACATGCTTCATGTAGGGACTTCATCTGTTCAACTTGGATATGATTCGAGAGCATGGAACCAGAGATCGTTTCTATGTTATTGACATCAACTATTTTCCTGGTAAGTTGAAATTCCATGTCTTTTATCCTTGAATCACTAGACATGTGAGTTTGTTGGCCCTGAGATCTTTATTATATCGCTTGTTTGGTTCACAAATTCAGATGATCGATTCTTGGTAAAACTAAACAAACCAAACCAAAGAAACCCAATTTATCCGACACAGAGGTAGAGGTAGAGGTAGAGGTAGAGGTAGAGGTAGAGGTAGAGGTAGAGGTATGGTCTGGGAGGGTAGGATAGGTGGTGAAACTAAACTTGATTGGATATATGGGCACTTGCAGGTTACGGTAAAATGCCGGAATACGAGCACATCTTTACAGACTTCCTGTTGAACTTGGTGCAAAGCAAGTTCAAGAACACTGCTAGTTTATGCTGAATATACGTGAGTGATTATAATAAAAAAGCACAAACTATTGACTAATGGTGGATCTACTGCAGAAAGAAATGGGCGTTCTGGTCATGGTTTTCTCAATCAACTCTCACTGGGTTTGTATGTATATCTTTATATTAATTAATTTGTGTTAGGTTTTATTATATGTTGATAATGGAAAAAGACAGGTTTAACACCTAATGTTGATGATGACTTGCACAAAATTCTTTCCAATGGTTTCTTCTACTTGCAATAGCATAACATAATTGCTAGTCTTTGTCTGACTGTTAACTTTCGAATCCACGGGATTAGTCGTCATCAAACTCCCTTTTACAGTATATGTAAGAAGAATCTAATTATTCATAGTTTTAGTATATCTATTGCAATTAGTTGTCTGATTTTGATTATTGAAGTTGCGATAATCACTTTCAAAACTGCAATATTCTTTGTTCGTTTTCTAATGTATAAGTACTCACGCACACTTCTCACTTTTTCTGAGGATTTGAACCATCGACATCGTAGGGCGGTAACTCTGATTTTGTTGGACTGATAACCCATTGGTATAAGTCTAGTAGAATTGTGAAATGCACAAGTTTATTTTTCGTCACTTGAAACTACAAAATTAGATTTCTATTGGTCTTCTAACCATTTTTTTCCCGGAATTACCCAAATGTCATTAGTCATTACTTTCGTACGTCATTACTTTCGTAATATTCAGGTTCGCAATATTAGCTAAAAGGCAAAAAAAAAAAAAGAAGATTCAAATTCAACACAAATCTATAACTGCGATGGCCATATCCGAAATTGCGACGATCAAGTCTGCAAATGCGACGGTAAACTGGTTGAAATTTGAATGTTTTGTCTTTTAGCTAATATTGCGGATCTAGCTACTATTGTGAACCTGAATATTACGGAAGTAGTGACATTTAGGAGAACCCGAGAACCTCGACTCGGCTCAAAATGAGCTTTCAAACAAGCCAAGTTGAACATTGGTTTTATGAAGCTTGACTCATTAAATTAAACGAGTCCTATTTTATGTTCGATATCGACACAATCTTGAGAATTATTAAGCTCGAGCTCGAGTAATTCGTTAAAAGCTCGACTCGTTTACACCCCAAATGTACCAGAAAGTGGAATATTAAGCTATAAAAATACGTTACCTGTGCAAATTGTTGGTGAATCTGTTCATGAGGATGAACATATGCCATCCCTGATCGCTGAGAAGGGTACTGCATGTATGGCGTAGAGGAGCCTAAATGAGGAGCAACAGCATGGCCAAGACTAAATGGAGTGACCATTGACTTCGGGAGTCTGTAACCCATTCCTGCAACGGGTGAGGATGGTGCAACCCATGGTCCAGGTAAATGCTGAGGGAGTGTGTGAGATTGGTGATCGACAGATATAGATGGAGGAGGCAGGGCGGCCATTAAACCAAGTTGCAGAAATTCAGTGTTGTAGTTCAAGATAGTTGTGTACCCCGTGGAATGCAGCGGGATACATCAATCTAAAGTTAAGAACTCAAACCCTCCATCGTGTTTCATGTTTCTTTCAATTCTTCATCCCTCTCGATCTTTTACTTTTATGGTTCTCAAATTCCAATCAAAACCCAACCTATGGTAGATCCTTTGTGACAAAGTAAAAACCTTTTGATCTATTATCCCACATAAATTCAAGATTAATATGGTTAATTGGTTAAAGATTTTGGAATAGAATAACTGCTCAAGTAAAAATTCAAAAAACACATCTTATGCAAGTTAAAACACACTCAAACAAGATGTTGCTCAACATAAATAAATCATGGAAATAAGACAACACCATTAATCATATTCATAGGAATTCATGTTTTTCACATTGTTTTTGATCAATAAATCAAAGACATGTGATTTAAAATATAAAAATCTGCTACTTAGTTTGTGAGTTTTGGGGAGGTTACAACTGATCAAGGAAGGATTCTCATAGTACTTTATTCTTATAAAAATCTGCCAGTCTATTTCCCACTTCCCTGGCTTGCAAAAGCTATCCCAAAAACAATTGTACTTGTCATTTGTGACTTGTGCATTAACAACATTGCCAAAACGCAACATATTTCTTAAAATTTCCAATGGAAGTGTACAACACGGAATGAGAATTAAAGATAGATTGACACGACACTCAAAGAGATTTCAATAATCACAATTCTCAAGTCTAATATATACCAATCTAGTTCATGAAGCTTTCAAATGACAGGAAAGATAGATTGAAAGTACCAACCTTCATAATTGCACCATAAATGATCGTTAACATCATCTATAGACATTGTGGGATTGGTCCATTAATTTGATCCTGAGTGCACCCAATGACATAAATTAGTACATACATTACCATTAAAGACCTAAATTATTGGGATAGATAATCACACAAGCACAATCTAAATGACAAAACATGGAAAAGAAAAAGAGAAAAAAGTACTACGTGGTTCAACAAGAAGCAGAGTCCACCAATTCAGTTTTGGGTTTTGTCATCGATGGGAAAGAAAATAAGGAGAACAACCCCTAAATATTGGATTAAGCATTAGCAATTCATAAGAGGACCCTTTATCATATTCTAAAACTGTTTGAATAGAGAGGGTGTTGGAGTATTGGTTTAACATGTACTTCACATTACCTCTCGACTCAAAATGAAATGAAACCAATTGAACCATACTCATCAACAAAATTAAAAAGCGGACGTGTTTCATGAAGGTGTTTGTGAGGGAGTGGGATTCAGCCGAAACTCAAGAATTGACCCAACATATACAAATCAAATACTCAAAATTGTTGGAATATGCTCGTGTCATAATAAATAATTATATGGCTAGACACACATGAGCCTATAGGGTCACACACATATACACTTAGACATCATTTAATATAATATATTTATTATATTTAACATTATATATATTATCTTAGTAACGTGGGGTATTTACATGGGACCTAATCATTAAGTATGACTTAATAATTTGGGATTGGAGTAAGTTAATGGCAGACCCATTATAATTAATTAAATCCTAAGCCCATGAAGAGTTAGAAGGAAAAGCCCAAGGAAGCATTAATGTTAATCCTATATAAATATAGTTATTAACCTAATGAAAAATAATTCCTCTTCCTCCTCTCACTTTCTAATACGGCACACACCCTAGGGTTTCCTAGGGTTTTTGGGTTTTTCATCTTCTTACTCGTTCTTCGTGTAAGAAGGTTCGTTATTAAGAGGACTAACATCTGGTGGTGATCGAGGACGTGTAGTGTGGACTACTCTAGAGGTATTCTCTCTAGAATACTTGGTTTCAAAGCCTTGCAAGTGAACACGGTCTTTCATCTACAAATCATGCTACAAACGTATATCGTTATTTGTTTTATCGTTTAATCTTTTGGCAATACGTTGATCCGCTTTTGGTGATTATTTCCGCTGCGTTTTTATATACTCTTATATTTTCCTTTTTATTATAATCACCAACAATGGTATCAGATCAATCCATTTGGGAGGATAAGATCAAAGCTCCCTATAGCTTCAACTGCAGCACGCATTCCATTGCCTACATACAGGTTCAAAGCTCCTTTGTTTAGCTTTCTACTTCCCCTTAGTCCCTGCACATTATTACAAATGTGAATTCCACAACCCTTGTCATAAACCCAGGATTTACTAGGAAAAGCATAGAGTTCTATAGTGAAGAAACCTGATATGCTAGCCGGGGTAGCTTTGTTCTTCTTCAAACCTGCTAGGTAGGCAAAACAATTCCTCCTCCAGTGGCCCACCACTCCACAGTGATGGCAGGCGACGTCCTTTGCAGGGTGCTCCTTCTTAGCAGGGGGGGATCTTTGGTTTGGGTTTAAAGACTTGCTTACCCTTGCCACAACCCTTGCCCTATGCTTGCGGTTTTGGTTTCCTGATTTTACCTTCCCTGATTGCTAGAACAGCTGGAGCTTTCTCTTTCTTGGGCAACCCTTGCTCTGCAAGCTTTATCATAGCATGCAGTTCAGCTATAGTCTTTCCCATGTTATGCAATGTAAACTTGAGTAAAACTTAAGGACCCTCCACACCTGTTGAGGTGAAGCGAATGAAGGGAATCCCCTATGCTTCGGCAGTGGGGTCCATCATCTATGCAGTGAGGTGCATTATACCTATATGTGGCGTTCTCTCAGGACCTTACGAGTAGATACCAACAGAATCCGAGAGAAAGTCATTGGAATGCTGTTAAGAACATATTGATGTATCTTCGAAATGCGAAAGATATGTTCCTCGTTTATGGTGGAGATACTGAAAGAGAGCTTCGTGTTACTTGCTACACTGATGCTGGTTTTGAAACAACTTGAGATGATACTCGATTTCAGACTGGATACGTTTTCGTCATGAACAGAGGCGCTGTTGACTGGAAGAGTGCTAAGCAAAGCACTACTGCGATGTCTTCTACAGAAGCTGAATACATAGCTGCTTCTGAGGCTGCAATGGAGGCTGTTTGGATACAAAAATTCATTTCTGGGTTTGGCGTTGTCCCCAGTAATGAAAAACCCCTGGATATGTATCACGATAATTCTGGTGCCATTATCATAGCCAATGAACCTGGAGTTCAAAAGGACGCGAAACACTTTCTAAGGAAGGTTCACTACATTCGAGAAGTCATCGAGACGGGTGAAATTCGCCATCAAAAGGTTCACACATATAACAACCTAGCTGACCCTTTTACGAAGGCAATGTCTTGTGCCAAACACATCGAGCATGCTAGGAACATTGGGCTTCGACCAGCTAGTAGTATCATGTAGATTTGTTTAGTATTTGAATAATTGGAATAGGTATGATCGTTTTCATTTATATCAACTGTGTTCTATATTTGCATGTTTAATCCATGAATAATTAATATATTCTAAATTGTCCATTGTCAGTTGATAATACGGGAGTATTATCGAGTTAAGGCAAATGTGAGCGTATTGGTGATATTCATTGGAGAATGAATATTAATGATGATGCCACCAAACTCACATGTTGTTCATTGGTGATGAACATTGGACTGACCCAATCTACGAGAATTCATTTCATGGATCGACGTTAACAGTGAATCTTGCAAAAGGTTATGTCACTCATCCTTAGACTTGAGATGCAAGCAGGTTTTGTCCAAGTGAAATATCGTTTTTTTGATATGGTTAAACGCTGTTATAAAACCATCTTCAGGAACGATGTGAAGCATAAGATAGACACGTGCAGTCA